ATATATATATATAGGTTTGCGGTAGAGCAATACGGTGGAGGGGAAATGATATATAATGAAAAGGAGAAAGAAAGGAGTTAAATGAAGTTCAACCAAACCAATGATACATCATCAACTATGGCACAGTATACACAGTTTTTGAAGAACGAAGATCTGTCGATAAAAGATATTTCCAATTTTTCTAGAAGCCGCCACTGTGTTCCAAACATTACTAGTTGGTAGATTATTTCACTTGAATTCCGGCATACGAATATCGATTTGCAAATCTCTCTTCCTTCTATTACACGCGACGATCACTCTTTCTTGATTTTATAGTTTTACAGCCACAAACCATGTCGTCATTGTAGTCCCAAACACGCGTTATGTTTCTACTACACACGCATGGAAGAGACATTTCTATCCGAGGACCGCACCTCCCATCCTGATCCATCTCGCGGGCCTCCCTCCCCCCCACTCTTTCCCTGTGCTCGCTCTCTCCTCCAAATGCAAAGATAAAGCTGAGTCCATCACCCCCGCCCCCGCCTCCGGCGCGGCCCGGCGGCGAGGCATTAATTCCGGCGCTTGCCGCGGGAGGCGCCTCGAGCGCACTCGTCGCGAGTGGAGCAGTCGTTGGTTGCTGCCGCTCTCCGTCACCCGCCCCGCCCCGCCCCACTCCACTTCTCCTCCCATCATACCCCTCCCCGCTGGCCTGCTTACTGCCACGCTACTTCATGTTCCACACTTCTCCTCGCCACGCTCATTTCCCCGTTCCGTTTTCCCTTTCCGCCACGCTCCTTCTCCGCACCACGCGTCCTTCCCGTCGCCTTCGTCCTCTACTGCACTTCTCCCCGCCACAGTCCTTCCAATACTAGTCTTCTCCCCGCCATGCTCTAACCAAAGGTTTGCTTCTCCCCGGCACGAACCTATTTCTCTTCTTCCCGTCACACTCTGCTAGCAATACTATGCATCTTCCCGCCATGATCTCACCAATATTTTGCATATCTCACGCTCTAACCAATCGTTTGCTTCTCCCCGCTACACTCAATCCAATGCTTCACATCTCCCCGCCATGCTCGTACCAATATTTTGCATCTCACCGGCGCGTACTCATCAAAACTTGCTATTCCCCGCCAACTTCTCCCCCACTTCATATGTTCCCACCACGCTCCTCCTCACTCCGTTACTCCTCCCCGCTTGTGTCATCCTCTCCACTCCACTTCTTCCCGCCACTTTCCTTTCCCCATTCTGTTCTCCCCTGCTCCGCGCCTGCCCTGTTTCGCTCGAAGCAGAGCTGGCTCTTTGCCCCTTCCTGCTCTGCTCTTAGTTCTGCGAGCATGGCCGGGTCCTCCCCGTCCTATCCCGCTTATCCCCGATATGCAGTCATCCGCTCCTGAAGCCGCCCTTCCCCTTTCCTCCCCGCCCCGAAAGAGAGGGCCAGCGCTGGGGGTCGCTGCCACCCGCAGATATTTATAACCCGTAACTGTCTTTGACAGGTCGACGGCGAGTAATCGATACTCTCCGAAATCCCACGACGAAAGTCGTCAAGTATTCTCGGTAACGGAGTGTGATCCAAACTGGAGGGTAATCTTGAATCGGGTATGCTGATTTATGTGCGCGGTAAATTGGTTTGCACTTCGCGACGGGGCTGGCGAAAGAAAAAAGACTGATATCATCATTGGAAACACGTATGGAGAGAGGCAGTGCGATTTTTCTCCGTTAATAAAACCGACTCTCAATAAGCGACTATTCATCAGAGACATTGCAAGTGATGGTTAAGTTTTTTGTAATTAAAATTCCTTAAGAGTTAAAATTAAAATATATAAAAGCCACGTTAAAACTACATTTTATCGGATTAAATGTAAGAATTTTACACCAGTCACTAGCAAAAAAACTGAGAGACAAATTCTTGAGGAAGTGCGCAGAAAACACACTCTAGAAATAGATAATACTACCCCATACATACTAAAAGACTTGATTAATTATGTATCCCATATTGAATAAAAAGAAAAGATAGATAAATAAAATATGTCCTAAAAACAGTAATCGTTTGAGTTCAATAAGTATTTTCGTAACTTGTGCAGAAAGTGATTTGGGGAACGAAAGAAATGTTGAAGAAGAAGGTGAAGGTAGGAGTTCGGCAGTTTGAATGAGTACGCCAAAGAAACTTTCGTATGAGACGCTTACATTACTTTGTTTGCAAGAATCCATGAAAACGTGAAAATTCCCTTGGGATAATTCTCAATACGCGAGTTGGCAAACATGTTGATTCACACTGCAGTCGCCTAGTGTTTTCTTTACTTTTCTATACCCAATAATTGTTTGGTATAACCCTCACTTTTGTGCGGTACGTGTAGAGTAAAATAGACTTTGCCTACTCATACCGCAAAGTAACGGTTTGGAATAGATAAACAAAGATAAGAATTACTTTTGCATGCACGAGTGCTGTAAAATAAAAATCATCATGTTGCTTTTTATTATTTGCAAAATAATTTTTTATTGCGAGTCATAGACTGCTGTACATTTTCATGGACACCTTCCCCCAATTTCGATGTTCACAGTCGAACCGGCCCTGCGCCTGCAACTGGGGTCGAACCTGAACCCCGATGACATCGAGGAAGGTGACGACGTGTACTTTGAGTGCAAAGTGACCGCCAACCCGTGGGCGTACAAAGTCGTCTGGAAGCACAACGTAAGTACATTTGCAACACGAAGTCTCTGCGGCTCATGTTGATCACTCAATTATTACAAAATTTGTCTACGTAATGTTCAAACCGTCACGCCTCAAACTATTATGCCGTCACAATTATCAGTGAAAATTGTTGTTGCGGTAGTTTACATCAAAAAGTACGAAAAATTATGTTTTCGTTTCTGTGACAATTAATTAATTAACTAATTATTAATTAATTGGATTAAGATATCAAATAGTTGTCTGGCAACAACGCTACAATTGGTATTTTTTCCTCTTCTAGATTCCATTCTGGAAAACTAGCTTTCTGTTGTTTTTATGTACATTTTGAGTTCGCAATTGAAAAGAGCGTTTTGCTTCTGTGACTTGTCATCTAGAACGTCGATTGCTCGAGCTCTCATGCGTACAACTATGTATAAATAATAATACTCGTATATAAAACTTCTTGAAAGTCGAAAATCATTTTTTCTATTGTAATTGTTTCTGTATATTTCCGTAACTAAAATTTTCACGACTTGCTTTTGATAATTTGAGGATGAAGTCAGTGTTCAAGAAATTCTGAGGGTTCCCATCCATAGAAGTTAGTTTCAAAACATTATCACTTGAATTAGAACATTCTTTCATAGCTATAATTCGTTCATCACTGCTTATCTACGGAAAGTAAAGTGGCAAGATTTATGATCTCAGATAACTAGTTTACATTAATTTTCAAACAAGGCAGAGACTCATAAAACGGTATCTATTAACACTTAGAATGTTTCGTACTTATCTACTTAATCTTCATTGCTCATATGCTACTGAAATTTAGAAACTCTTGGTTCCATAAAATGGTAAAATGACATATAGCAAGAATTAATTTACGTACCAGCACTAGTTCTTGGATGAAAATTGCACTATGAAAAATTTAACAGTATATTTCTCCATCAAAAATGTACTTCGTCGAGAATAATTAAGTAGTTAACTGTTAAATGTAACAAGTGAAACTGTCGTGGATATTAAATTCTGCAGAGTACGATCATATCTCATCACATTTCGTCGCAGCTTTGTTGTTAGTAGAAGAAACGCGAAGAGCTGTTTTCGCGCTGCGGGTGGCAATAAATAAACAAATAAATAACGTTCGAATTGTTAAAATACTCCTTTGTGAGCGGTGCGTCCGAAGTTATTCATATAACAATAACTCACCGTTTCAAAAGGGTCACAATATTTCGCTGCGTAATTATGGAAATTTCAACTTTTCGTCTCTTCGGTTGCAAGCGCCGAGAAATAAATCATGGCAGAGTTTGCCCAAGTTTACACGTTCAGTCGAATATAATGGCGTGTAATTTAGACCCATCAAGCGTTGCTTCGCGTAATTGATATATTAGCTATTAATGGCCGAGAGGGCGAAAGCGTTGCCGAGGCCGGTGGAGGGGGTGAAAGGGGAGGAGGCGGGGAGGGATGAAAGAGGAAGGCGGGCGCGTTGGCCTCTGCAAGGGGAGAGAAGCTCGCCGGGCGACATAGGGCGACGAAGGGCGACGTGCGAGACGAAAGGGTGGGTGACGGGCAGCATGAAAGAGGCCGCGCTCGGCTCTTCTCGTCTCGCCTCGTTGCCGCCCGCCAGGGGGTCGTTGGCGGCTAGGCGGAAGTCGGGGCTGACCTTGGTCAAGGACTCTGCCGGAGGTGGGGAAACAAATATTTTCATTCGTGGAAGATGGCAGCGTGGAAACACCGCGGAGCACATCACTTTTGAACCATCTGTTTAAAGTCTCAAGCTGAGTGAGTTTGAGCAGATTGGAAGAGAGCCTACATGTTTCGTGCACTCTTCCCTAAAAGCTATTTCTATATTTTTTACTGGAACGTTGATGTTTCTCAGGCTAGATCCATAAAAGTAATACCCAACTGCTACTAAAATGCGCCGAACTCGGTTCAGTACTTTAAGAGAACTGACGTTCTCTATTGACCTATGAATATAATAATGTTTACCACACTACCAATGTTCAGATTTCGTTTGCACATAGAGAAGTAGGCAGAACCGCAGGAAGAACATTTTGCTCTCGTTAGTTCAACATGTTATTACAGATATTAGTAATCTACATTTCAATATGTACAAATAAACTGTATATCAGTAACGATGGTTTCCTTCTGTCACACTATGTTATTCTTTATTTCATATCTTATCCAACCTACATATTAAAATGTGTTATTCTGTAATATCGAATTTGTAAAAATTGTACATACCATTGTTGGAAATGGTAAAATACATATGCTAACGTTTCTAAAAGAGCACCTACTTTCTCACCACAGTTGTAACTGCTACACAATATTATACTTCTATATGATCCTGCAAAAGTGATTCCAACGGACAAAGAACTTCTCTGCGTGGAGATACGATCTCGGTTCCTTAACGTCAACCCGCCAAGGACGTTACCGCTACACCATCTGTCGAACGCTGAACTTCATTTTTTCAGCTCTTAAAAAATAGTTATTTTTCGCATTGCTTCTAACATTTTGTAACTTTCAATAATTCGAAGTGTTCAACGAAAATTAGACCTGCTCAAATTTTTAAGCATCTTTTTTACTTATCCTCGGAAAAAATAGTAAGAAAAAATTGATAGTCATAACTGGTATTTTTTATAAATTGCGTTAATATAAAGTAAAACGTATGTAAAATTACTCGTTTATTCCAAAAAGTTACAAGGCCTGATTTAAATAACTAATTTGTTAGAACAAACATTATTGAGGAAAAAATCTTTAATCGATATTCTACTTTTGTAAGTTAATATTTTGCAAATTTCAAAAAACCCCTAAAATGGGACTAGCACCAATTATAACTTTCTCACCTTACTACGTATACGTAGTAAAGAAAGGACAGACAATTTTTTTTACAGAAAACCTCTCTTTGACGGTCTCTAGTAACAAAAAAGTAGATAGACCTTTTTCCTACATGTAGTGAATTACATACTTTAACCCAGTAAGTACCAACACCACAAAAAACTAAACTTTTTCTATTAACTTTATGTTCCTAACTACTTACAACATAAATAATACGTTCACGCACACTAGATATTTTTTTTTATTTTTTACTTTAACTTTAAAGTGTGTTCCAAATGGGAAGAATGGGAAGATACAGGATCTACAGGCTGTGTAGGGCAGGGGAGCAGTGTATATGGATCAAGTCCTTACAAATTGCAAAAATAAGTTGTAATATTGCTCCTTTCACATTTCGCAACATCCTTGCCTCTCTTAAGGAATTAGGTCATGACCTCGACCAGTCCTGGCTTGGAATGTAATGGTTCCAGAGAGCCTGGTCTTGGTGTTGAGGGGTGTGAAACCATCATTCTAGCAACGTCTTATAAATTCTTGCTGGTGTAGCTCGTCATTTGGAGAAATAATGCAATGCATTCTTCCTGCAGCAACGCTTAAAGTGTTTATACAGTTCAAAAGAATAGGCAAGTACCATTTTTATCTTGTAACTGGCCTATACTGGGAAATAAAACGATCCAAATATCTATTCATTCCATATGCGAATTATAATTTAAAATTAGAGCAGGCTGTGTTATTTGTACACATCTTTTTTTTTTTTGATTTGTACCGCTTTGCTTGTCGCATAGGGTGAACAACATCATAGTTTGAAGCAAGGCACATTACTTTGTTGTCTTTCCATTTGACTGCCAAAATGTCCCTATAACACTTCATCAACACCTTCACACTTCAAATCGTAAATACCTCTCTCTAGTTTGTCTGCCCTCTTCGTTTTGAATATTTTTTCTTCGGAAAATATTAGGCTGGCAAAGGTTGCTTTCCAACAAGTTCGCCGTCGCGGGAAATCGATTGTGCCACGTTTCGATCTACGACACTCCCGTTCGTCTCAATACATATAACTACCAAAATTCCTTAATGTAATTTCGCGCTGTGTTCAAAATATTCTTCAGACATCTTAAACAGCAGATATGATTATCGGTGCAGGAAGTTTTGAACCGAAATAATTTGAAATAATTTCTCAGATTCTACTCCTTAGAGTAAAGGGATTCAACTTTACAAAAGGTATCTTCCACTCCTTTTCTAAAGCCGAAGTATATAAGAAGCTCCGAATGGTCATGCCATTCGAATTTTTAAAACGACATTTTACTCAATGCCATATTAAACTCTGGTACGTAATTTAACTAGCTAAGCGAACTGAACGATTAAGATAAAATATCATGTACGAGATACTGAGAAATAAATTCATGTGAATGTAAAATCTTGCTAATACACTACAAAATTAAATCGCGAAAAGAGATAATTGTTTGTTTATTGCATTTTAAAAATAACAGTGTCCAATTATGTCTCTAAATCGGCCGAAAGTAAATGAGTTAGTTGAATGATATTGTGCTTATATACTCTGCTGAACTATCACGTACTTCTAATATGGCAGAATTAGTATAGGAAAAGAGAAATTGTACATTTAACAGAAACAGATTTATACTATGACTATTAAATTACACAATAATGAACTCACACATTTCGTATTCGTTCATCGACATTTTTTTAAATTTGTAAACATTTGGTAAAATGGTAGCTTGGGAAGCAGTTGGTCTCATGTACAGTTTCAAAAAAATGTTAACCTAACCCAACTTTTATTAGATCACCATTTTTTATTTATTTACCAAAATTGTTTTTTAAGAATAAAAAATGCTTAATTATGAATTCGGTTATTTACTTTAATTTACATAATTAGTTAATTTTAATATAGCCAGTAAAACTGCCGTTTGGTTTCGAGTAACATTTATATAAAACCCAAATGCTTAAACGATTCTATATAGATGTTAAAAAAAATATGCCAATTTTATATGACTGTTTTTTAGATTGTACTCCTTTTCCAGCTTGTGTAAGCAATAGTAACTCCGAAAATGAGAAATTCTTCAAAACATTGCTATGATGCGTCACATTCACTGGGGCAATATTTCCGGTGGTAGTCCTCCAAACTGCTGCTTTTGGTGACTGTGGCCTTCGTGGTGCCAGTGCCTTTGCAGGGAAGGGCACCAACCTTACAAACCTTCCTTACAAGCGACAGTTTTGGGGCCTTCCACAGGAAGTACTGTACACTATAGAAGTTAATTTCATTCATTTTACGTAACAGCAATTCAAATTGCTGTACTTTCTTTCAAAACATCATGAATATTCTTTTTCACAACCGCGTTTTTATCACTTAACGTAATTATCATGAAGGAATCAACAACTCCCTACACCGAGAAATCTGGGAACAACTAAGGCGACCCCTTTCACGATAGGGCAGATCTACAAAATGGATTTCTATATATCGGTGTATTGAAGAATTCTTTAAGCGATTGTTCGCCCATTTGAGTTGGTGCGGCTTCGGTGTTTGAAATGGAATATATAAAACAACTGGAGCAACATAACTTTTAACACACTTATGAAAAAATTGTTTAGAGATTGTGTTGAGAGATTGTTTGGAAAAAAGAAAATAATAAAAAGCGAAATCACAGGTTGGAAGGACGAAATTGACTTACAATAAATAGACGACGCATAATTTAACTGTCTTAGAGTAACTTGAAAACAGTCCTGTATAGCCTAAGGAAATACCGTTTTCGTAACTCCTGCACACCTAAAATAATAGTTATGGTATTGTTATTTCCTTTTTCAATGTTTGTATGTACATACTTGTGTACACGTCTCTTCACTCAGACAAATTTCATTCACACCCAAGAAATTAAAAGAGGCCTTCGCCTCAAGTTAAATACTAAGTTCAGCTATACACATTCACACTGTAGAATTCCTTCTTGATTGTGATTCTGTCGGTTGTTATTCGATCTTGCAACGTCCGAAGTCTATTCATAATGGGCGCAGATTAAGGGTTAAGATCAAGATTTTTCGTTTTCAAGTTCAAAATGGAAAGCGGTCATAATTCAAACTATGCAATGCATCTCGTTTGTTCCAGTCGTTCCTTCTCGCTATCGCGACAGTTACGTTTCTCGCGAATTTTAAGGGATTAAACTCACCAACGGTGTTTGTAAGGTTAATGTATGTGTTAATTCTGCTTAATTTTATTTTTATATTGTGTTTGCGACAAACTTTGCTTTAATAGGATAATTGTCAAATCAAGAACATGATTGGTTGCTAATACAGGAGTCCCACCAAATATGTTCCATCATCATAACTTGTAAACGGTTCACGATATCGAAATGTAGTTTCCGTTCAACAATGCGAAAGTGCAGAAAGTAATATGGCGTAGAAATTTTGTTTGAAATATGTTTAGTTTTCTAGAAATGTAAGGAACGCTATCCCATTGCAAATTAAAAATTCCAGTTTAAGTTACATGATCAGTTATTATGATATAGTTTGCCAGTTTGAAAAATTAAATGAACCTATTTTACATTCACAGTCAAAAACATACCACACATTAATAAAGTCAAAGAAGAACATATCAATGAGACAAAAGGGTGTGAAAAATTTGTAATTGTATTCGGGAAATGTAGCATGAAATATCTCCAATAAATCCGAATGTTCGAAGCATGTCTACATCAGTCTTCTTTAGAAACATATTTCTACGAGAGGGGGCCATTTTTGAAAGGTAACACAAACACATTTCTGAGTTTGGCCGGAAATATCGTCAGTTAATTAAGTCAAAAACGTAACGAATACGTCTATAAAAAATATTAAAACTATTTATTAATATTAAAACTGGCAAACATAATATAGTATTAAATGCATTTAATGTACACTATCGAACGAAACCTTACTAGAATATTTTTCAATGATTAATTGTCAATACTTGGTTTGTAAATTACCCTGTGATTGGTCAAGAAACTGCATCATAATGAAATATGTATCGTAATGAGTGTCATTTTGCAACGGGTTGCAGCCATCAAATGACAGAGTTATACAATGGGAGTAGAAAAATAGCTTTTAAATCATTGACTTAAAGAATATTCATTGTTAATAGCATCAAAATTAATTAAATAAAACGTTGTTTAGAAGCCTTTTTTTAAATTGAAAATATTCCAAGGAGAGAGGTCTGAGCTCCAACCTGGAAACGCCCAAGGCCTACAGACATCACACGCGCTGCCCTTGAAATGAAAGTGTGGCCACGGCCAAGTTGCCGAAAGACTCACCGTGCTCTCCCACGTGGTCTCAGGAGTCTGCCGCGGCGCTCCGCAGCGGTGGGCCTGGTGATGGCGACGGTGTCGCCGTCAACGGGGACGTTTTAAGCCGCATTTCCCTGGCAGTGGCGCCGATCGTTTAAGGCGGCCGTTAGGCGGCGCCGGTGTCGCCCGCGATCACGTGCGCCGTCCCGATTCCTCCCACGCGCGCCGCCGGCCGATAAAGACAATCGTGATACCATCGGAGCGGCATAACGCCGCCGGCGCCCCGATGCCGGATTGCGGCGGAACGAGCGAGCGCCGGCTAACCGCCCCCGCCTGCCCGCCCCTCGCACTCCGCCGCTGGCCGCTCGTCGCCCTGCCCCAACTGTCGTGCCACCGCCCCGCCGTTTGCATTGCTCTTTCCAGCCCGTCTCTGGCGTCGCTACACATTCAACTTTTCGAGCCCTCTCCTCTTTTATCTGTGGCCTAACAGCTCTCGGTACGAATTCAAATCGTGCTCGCCTTCATTTCTCCCTTTACCTCCTACCCTCTCGTCTTCTACTTGGCCTGGCGGCGCACCCCTCCCGTCCCGTCCCCACCTTCTTCACAGCCATGCCCCACCCTGCCCCTGCAAACCTCTTTCTCCGCCCGTTGCAACGTCGTATCGAAAACTAGCCTCTCGCTTCCTGTTTTCTTGCGCAACCATACTTCGATTTTTCTATAGTGGCCGATGACATTAGGTCATTGTTACACCTTCTGCCGTATAAAATGAATATTTTTCATTCATTCTCAAACGTCCTTATCAACAAGGATTGTGGTCTCAGAAATGTGCTTACCACTGTAAAAAAGGTTCATTCAGGCAGGAAGTGCAATAATGATCTAATGGCATCGTCCACTATAAAAAACTCAAAGTATACCCTTGCTGCGAATCCACCTCCAGATCCCCTCCATTCTATTTTCCTTCATCCGTGGCATGACATACTGTCGACGGTGTAAACTCAAATCGTACTCTACTGCTCCGCTACTACTCTTTTCTCTTCTCCTCCTTCCCCTCCACGCCGGACATGTCTTTCTCCCGCCGTCGCCCCCGCGGTGACGCAGCGACTTCAACCCCCTCCTCTCCGAGACTCGCCTCCTCTTTGAGCTCGGCCCCTTGAATATCGCCCGCCGAGAAAGGTGGCTTTGTGACGGTTTAACAATCGCCCACTTTATAGTGGCTGTGTTCGCCCAAGTAACCGCCTGTGAGATACTACTGCTACAGGAGCTGAAGTGCGTATATAAATGAACATCTGAATGGAGAGTGTCGCGGTGAACTAAGGTCTTTTTTCATGTAATCTTAAGACGGTTACGAAGTTGTTTGATTCAAACCGAAATTACTTCAGTTTTACTGTTAAGACTTTAGAGTTAGATAAAGTGCCGCAATAAAAGGTTGTAATTCAACTCAGAAGAACTCGGAATAAATCTCATTCGAAACAATAATCTATTCCACCAATGACAATGCGCAGTTTATATTGCTCCATCTCGCATTCACAAATAAACGGACTCTCTACTTATATATCATAAAGATTAGAATTAAACATAAGAAAATATGTTTACCATATAAATCATTTAAACATCATTTTGCCAGAAAAAAATATTTATCTTTCTGAAATACTTTATTCTCACGAAAACACGAGATGGTTTAATATTACTTTTTAATAAAAAATGTGCAACATAAAAATGATAACTTTTAATATATATAATGACAAACGATATTTTTGATTAACTTTTTACCTTAAAATCTACACCCATTATTGAGACAAACGCGCACTAAAATAAGGTTAGTATTGTCGATTCCCGTATTTTATCGACTCTGTATATGACCAACATACCACAATAGTAATTCCGTTATAAATAAACAAATCCTCTCTGTGATAAACAGAGGTTGACTAAATTTACTGCACAAATATTGCAATGCCCCGTGCATATTTCTACTAAATTTCAACGAACACTTTTTTTTTATTTCCGTCACCCTGAAACTTTTGATATTCCTGAATGGAAGGCAGGTCATATGCCGTTTCCGCCGTGTATTGACATTTTTGAATGTGCAATCAAATGCAATTTCATTGGCTCATACGTTATATTCTATTTCCTGTTTCAATCTTTCCCTCTTTTCCCCTCTTGTTGTAGGTACGTGATTTTGGAATACGAAATAACGTGTGCTGCGGAAAAATGTTTTCTTGTCGGCAAATTCACGCCAAACGTCATTTCTTGCTAATTGTACTCTCTTCCGCCGACGAAATGACCCCACTTAGTCGTTCACACGCGAGTTCGCATATCCCGTCTCTAACATCACTCAAGAATCGAAAAGGGTACGAAGTAAGGCTTCCACATGGATATAACTTCGGAAGGCTTTCTTGAGTTTCTAATCACAGTGACCTAATTGTATGACAATGTCAGCGTTTACGTCACGAGACATCTCTAATTAAAAGCTTTTATTTCATTAAGGGATGTTGTAATGGATTTTTGTTACACAATTTACGTGATTATTTTGAGACAGTATCAAATAATTTCGTAGAAGTAATTTTTGCAAACTCTATCTAATACTATGTTTGTCGTCCCGGTTTAATAAACTCATTATGTTATAGAAGACATGTTCTTGCCATGAAAATTCCGTAATTAAATTAAAATGCAATGACAATTATCAAAATTATGTTATTTTGGCGAGAAAGTCTTCGTAGTTTCGAGGAAGTTTCTTGACGATTCCTCGGCAAAATGCGTTAATTTAAAAGAATTCCCAAAAATGTATTTTAAAAAATTCAAACTTTTAGACCTTTGAGTCAAGCCAGATGGACTGGACAATGTTCATTTTGGCAAAAATTTTAAGAATAGTTCAGACGCTGTTGTTGTTGGACGGACGTTAGAAAACGTTTTTCGGTGTTAAGAAACTCTAAAAAGTTGATTCTGGCGAATTAAAAAAGCAATATACTACACACAGGAGCAAGAAAACTCGTGTTGGAGGTAGAACAATGTATTTGAAAATTGTTAGTGCCTTTTCTATACTGGAACTTGATTTTCCATTAATGATGGGGTATAATTTTAGCATTGTTATAAATGTTTTGTTGGCTATTGTAGTATTCTGATTTTATCAAGAGTGTCTGATATTGTGATAACAAGTTTATTATTCGTAATTTTCGAAGTGAAATTTTGCTTGGCATTTACATGAATTTATATTAATTTTCCTTTATTGAACCAATTACATAAATGTTTGGGTTTTCTTATAAATAATCACATGTTTTTTTAAAAATATTTATGTATCAAAAATATTGCAAAATCGTCTGCATATAAAGCTTTTTCCGAGTTAACTAGCATAAAAATGTCAGAGATGAAAGAAAAAAATAATGAAATTCCTGAAGATACATTTAGGCATATGATTAAACTAAGCAGTTTCTGGGAAGTAACATTTCCTGGACAATGTGAGTCTACTCGGCGAATCTGAGCGTGAACGCCATTACGAATTAACAGAAACTTGACTCTGGATAATGTTCTCCTGCCTCACGAGCATTTCATTTATTAAATCCAGGGGTGTCCAACTTGCAAGGTCTCGAAGGTCACAATTAAAACCTTTCATAATGTTGCGGACCTTATTTGCATTATTCGGGCGATCCACACCTGACTTTCCCGTATTGTTGATCTTGGTAGTTTGCCTGACTGCTCAGAAATGGGGGAGGGTCTGTAACCATGCGTGATATCAGGCCGTACCATACATAATGCAGAGAAACACAATGCGGAGATTTTGAATTTCTGAATTTACTAGAAAAAATCTTAAATCTAAACTTTTTTTTACATCAAGGAATTGTTAGCTCCGACAGAGCGTGTGTCACAAGCGCAATTTTCTCGCCCGGCATGCATGCAAGGGATATTCACTTTCGACCAACACCCTTTCGCTAGCAACAATAAATGGCATCGAGAGCCGCCAATTGGACAACTCTGCTTTATACAAACGACAGAGGAGCATAAAAACACATAATTTGTGTTCTACCATGAGTGCGGGTATTTTGAAGTGCGAGTGCTATGCTGTTCGTGTGTTAGAAATTATAGTATTTTTTGAAAGTTTCAAGTCGTGTATTGAAATGTGTTTTCTCTAGTGGGTAGAGGTTCTTATTTGGCACCACGAGCCAAGAGGAAAATCCTTATTCCGAAATACCAAGTCGCAACATATCACTTTGCATGGATATTCACCTACATGTAAAGGAAATTTGGTTAATGTAGAGAATAGCGCTTACCCCTAAGAACGCCATCTGTAGTTCAGTACGTCTCCAAGACCTCCTGTAAGCCTAAATAGTGCAACTTACCTACCTAGCAATGTAGTTTAAATTAAATACTATAGTGCGACTATTTTATCAGTGCCGCAATCGTGGAAAATTCTTCTCGGCCGATCGACCGTCACTCGCCGAGGAACTGTGGGTTCAACTCCCTTGCGGACTGGAGAGTGTCAAGGTCTCGGCGTGCAAAAGATTTGTGTTCCTGTCTTGTTGAATAGTCGGTTTGTGATGGTTCGCCCGAAGTTCTCTCAAACAGAATATGTTTGTGTATGACACATACTGCATTGTCAAATCGCTATGTGCATCCTACCCTGGTGTCTTTCTTCTAAATTTCGAGAAATAAAGGGCGTAACTACGGTAATTTTTAACAGGACTCCGCCACCGCACACATTACTTCAGTTTCCTTAAGGCTTTACATGCCGTTTATGAATTCAGACATCACACGTGTTTTGTTATCTCCTCGTTCTCCTGATCTGGCTTCGTGCGATTTCTTTCTTTGGGACTTTATGAAAGTGACAAATTCCCAAACGGAAGAAGAATTAAGGCACAATGTACAGGAGCTGATCTTTGCAATACCACAGGACCTCCTTTACCGAGTGAATCAGAACTTATTTAGAAGTCATGAAAGTATCAGAGCTGCGATGAGCAGTTCCAGCTTCTTCAATAAAGTGTGTACAATTTAAACTTTGACGAAAAGTCACTTTCCCTTTTCCGTGATTCTTTAGACCGCGCTGGCTCGATTTTCCCGGTATCCGGCCTCGTGTACCCTGTCCAAATTAGCACGCGACCAACTCATGCAGGGTCGCACTGCAGATGAAACTACTCTTAATGATACAGACAACTCACAAACGCAAAACATTTGAATAAATTAACAATTCAAACTTTCATAAGAATTATCTACCTTCCAAACGACGTAACCCACGACATTTTCTGTACTTTAACAAGCAAGATCCAAGTCTGGTGGCAAGCTTTTCCTGACCTTTTCAAGAGAAAGCAATTTTATAAGCAATGCCATTGTACAAGCACGCATTTTGACACAAGCCGTCCGCGAAGGACCCAACGTGCTGCGTTCACAAGGGCCTTCGGGTTGCCACTCTGATCAAGGTGATTCCCGCCTCCTCTCTCGCTCCGGCGCTAACGTTTTACTATACACCTCCCTCACTTTTAAGAGAGTTTCATTTAGAGGGGAGTAGTTTTGCACTGACCTGCACTTCATCTACCACACTTACTACAAAAAAGGTACATTTACACCACAAATCGCCATGAACCATTGCAAATAGCTTCTCAATAAAGCATTTCTAAATTTATATTTCGCAGCAAGTTTTGACGCACAGTTTAGTACATACTGTTGTGGCAGCCTAACGGGCCACACTAAATGCCCAAAATGGAGGCGTTGATGGATATCTGTCAGTACCGCCAACTTCTGAACCAAAGAGTTTTAACCCGACTCGCGACATTTATAATCAGAATGAATTCCACTGCATATTTGATACACAATTGCTTTTTCCCATGTTTTCTTCATTTTGTTAAATTTGGATCGCAGGAAATAATACATTATTCATTGTAAGTAATCAATTCGCAACAAATTATATGCATTTAACACATAACGTAGAATTATTATTTTGTAGTAAAAATTAAAATTCTAAAAGCCCCGCACAAGATATTGCGGAACACATCCAAGTCAAAATCACACGAATTAGAAAACTGAGATCATATTGGTCACAAATATAGGCTCCAGAAAATCCTATTGACGAAGGAAATGGTAGCTACAAGGCTCCCTGAAATCTTCCATTTTTTTGCTAATTTGCCTTCGGCAACATCGTACGTCACTGTTATTTTTTCAAGTTTACAGGTTACTTCTTTTTAAAAACAAAATTAGGATATATTCCTATAATGAATGAACCAATGTTATTAGTACAATATTTGTTGACACAGCAGTTAAATATTTCTTATTTATAGCTTGCCCTACCACTATGTGCACATTGAAGTAAATATACAAATTTGTGGGAGATACAACAGAAAGTTTCAGAACTTGGTTACTTTTATATGACATGAGTGTTACTAAGTTGAAGCATTTCTTCTTCTACATTATTTGATGAATTAGGCAGAGCTGCGTGTTCCGAAAACCATCTTCTTTTAGGTCGAGATACTCCTTTGGCCAGCTGGTTTGTATTCCCTTGCCAGTCGAAGAATTCGGCTTTGCTCTTCGCTCCAGACGACTGCATCTGTTCATTTTAGTGTCACTGATCTTCTCAAGACAAACTACCTCCAACACAACACTCCTAATTTTCTCATCACAATACACATTTTTACATAATAATTTACTAATAAATCTCATGTCTGTGACTCTCACTCTATTTGTTTCTCTTTTTGAGAGGGTCCAGGTCTCGCTTCCATACAGCACTACTGGTACTGCTATCGTCTTATAGAACGCAAGTCTGGTTTCTTTTCTTGTTTTATGTTATATGGTTCTATGAATTGTCGCACAAATATATTTAAACCTATTTATTTTGTTTGTAACATAGTCGTCAAATGCAGAAGACACTTCATATCCCAGAACAATTGCGCTACAGTCATTTTATTTAATACTATTTTTGATCTGACAGGATATTTTCCATGAAAATCCATCAGTTTAGTTTAATAATTAGATATTTTAAGGTAACAAAAGTCACATATATTTAGCAATACACGCATACCTATTTATATCATGTCTTCAGTAGTTTGCTGAATCATTACAAAAGGCTGAAGTTTAAGCACTTTTCACTTAATTATATGAGCTTATTTGTCATTTTATTTAAAACACTTTTACCCCTCTCCGGCCAAGATACTTTTGTGACACGTCTGGGCAAGCAGTGTCCATCAGACACTGCTGTAAAATCTTTGTTTTCCACTATTCTCGTGTTCAACATTTGCACATATATTGTTTTAATAGTTGTATGATTTGAATATTATGACGGATAATGAATAATTAATAAAAATAATACCTTCTTTATCGCGAAAACTCACAAGAAGTAATGTTGGAGTATAGCATTTTTTTCAAGAACACAGTGCACATTGAGCAAGTTAAACTTGATTTCTCTATAAATTCACAAATTTCGAATACATTACGAGTAGATCATTATTCACACTTCTTTCAAAAACGGGTTACATCATTGTTCTCATTGCTGCATAACTGGTGACATTTGCTGCAACATCGTTTCGGAGTGCGACATTGCGCGTAGAGGCGCAAGTGACATTCCTTTTTCCCTTCTGATGGGCTTGGAAATATGCAGAAGAATTTATTTCTTAGTTCAACGTCTTTTAGAGCTAAAAGTGTCTTTTGCTAGTCCCATAGATTTCAATGTGTGGTTGAATGAAGTGAACGCAAATGGCCATTTTCCAGTGCGTTAACACTACCTTTCGTGAAATTGTAATGAGGTATTATTTCCTGTTAGTTACCTAGGACTTCTGTGCAAGTATCTGAGCGGTGCATTCTAAATAGAACGACTGCTTTGTTTTGCTTCAAAACGTACGATAAGAGAGAAGATTCCCTAGACTTTTGTGGGGCGAGAATTGTCGAGGAACGAATCTCTACTTCTTTCGGACAGTTCCAACAAGAGTGAGTCCATTTCCAGAAGACTTTTTTTGCGACGCTCTTGTCCGTGAATTAGTTGTCACTAGTGACATTCCTTTGAGTTCTAAGTGTTTGGGGAGAGTTTTATACTACTCAGCTACTCAAACCTGGAAGCGTCCTTTCACTCTTTTTCTTCCCGGTCTAGCATCACAGGGCGAACACACCATCTTGTCATATTTGGCTGATTTTGATAATATGTACCATTTGAATGAGTCTGCTCCGGTATGGGATTAGCATTTCGACGGCAATACTGTCTGTTCAAGATTGGTAATGCTTTTTTCTAATTTTCATTACATTTTTCTCACATGTCCCTCAAAACAGCAAATTTATCATTTCAACACATTACAGACCGCGTGGTTTCGACATCAAATCGTAGTAAAAAGTAATCCCTTGAAACACATGAGTTCCATTGTTGCTCTAAATGTTGGTGATCCATATAAACTCATTCACAAAACTGTTCGCACTCATCTCCACAATGACTTCAACGCAGCTGACTATCCTTCCTGCAGACCTCGTGGTTGTGACAGAATTGAAATCATCCAGAGTTGTCTCTAACCAAAACAACTCGTTTGTCGCACAACAATTCAAGACGTTCAATTTTTGACAACCAACAGATGTAATAGACAAAAAATTAACGTTATTTCGATTGTTGTGACAATATGGAAGTCGCTAACCGTCATCCCTTACCAAAAATCATATTAGTGTCCTCGCGACACTACTTGCCTCATTACGCAATTTTCAAACGAAATGTTTTCACTATTGTTTATTGACCAAAATTAGTGACTCTTCATATTTAAAGGCTTAAATATATAAGTAACAAAGTCCAAAAGCGCACATACAAAAACCTATTAGTTTACTTCATACGACAGAATAGATAACCCACAGTGTCTGACAGACCTGGTTGCCCAGATTAGGGTTAACTGTTTCATGTTTTAAATTCATGTGCTTGCTAACCAGAGAACCTTGAGTAATAATTATATTTAGGGGAAATTTCCAAGGGTTTAACCTGTTAGTTGTCTGTCATGCTCACGGAGGGCCGGTAATCTCTATCTCAATCAAAAATTCATCCAAAAGCGAAAATCGTGTACCTTCGTAGACCAGAAAGCATCCTTACAAGTACATGTTTCTTTAGCATTGCAAGTTGCTTAATCATTAATGTTCTGAAATGCTTGCCTGTTCGTGTTTTCACCAGTATGTACATGTAGCTTTTTAATTAAAATGCGCATGGAAATAAGAGAAGCAATTGCACGAGAGAAAATTAATCGATGACCTGCCACATATCTGGCTTTAGCAGTTCTTGGAAACTGCATCCAATAATGTGTTTTGGGTTTAATTTTCTCCGTTACAAGAGTTTGGCTTTTTTGCAGACAATTCACGCCAACATATTCTCTCCCCTCTGTCTGAAAACCAGGATCTCCCACTTAGAAAATGCTTTTTCTTCGTATTATGCTAAGAACTCTGCATTCTGTTTCTCAGTGGTCGCCGAGAAAAATGTTGCGTCAAAACACGATTTTCTTTTTTAATCTTTGTAGATTTTGTAATATGCATCTTATCTTGCTTAGCTTACAATTTGTGTGCGCTGTATCTGCACGTGACAAAACAGATACGCGGATATTTACACCTAATTATCCGAACCTGACACAGCAAATACTCGAGCATTTTAACCTAACCTTCCACACAAGAGTTTCTATTGCGGTCAATTAGAAATTACGTGCCAACCTAGAGAGGAAACGCTCATCTGTCGCCAATTTAATAAACCAGTATGCACGTTTAAAAGACTCGAAAATATTTATGTTCGATAATGCCTGCAATTTGTCCAAAGATCATACATGTAGAAGGTCTTACTACTCGGTGCAAATGTCAGGATTCCAGTTGGAAAAGCCGAGAACGTTACCGAGATCCAGGATTTTTTTTTTTGCAATTGGTTTCTTTTCCGTCCGGAATGACATCGACATGAAATGCTCGTTCGCCATATCGCCTCCGATCACGCGATGTACAGAAAACACTTCTTTCCTAAATAAAGACGGAACTGAATAGCCTACTCTATTTTTGCGCCTTCGTGCACGAAACTGAAAATCTATAAAATACGGCGAAAGAGACATTGGAGCAGTTCTCGTTGACACCACCACCTAAGACATAAAACTTGATCACGCGTGAAATATATTCCGCTGAAATTCTTTTACTTTAAAACGTATATAACATTCTTTCCAGGGCTTTCATCCTTCCGACAGGTGTGTGCTGCCTTTACGTCCTGATGCAACAAATATTCGACTATACTCTAGGCACCGACACCCTTCGAGCTTCTCTGAACTAATGTCAGAATAACGAGAGGCCCTCCGCGAAAACACATATATGACAGGCCTCGCCCAAGACAGGACTCGAACCCGCGACCTTCCGGACCAAAGTGCCGAGTCGGTATACGCTCTTGGCCACCTTAACCATCCAGTTCAGCGCGTATAGTACTTACAAGGAAAAAAAATATGACGGACAACGTGGCTTACGTGGAAATGATTGCCTTTCGTGTATGAAATTCCGGACTAGAACAGCGTTTTGTTGCAATGCCCTACATAACCGAATTTAATATCAATTAGGAAACGGTTTAGAGAAACATTTAATTCACACTACCATATTTAATTGCATTCACGAACGTGATACCTAAATTATCCAATTTTGTTGTCCACAAATTGAGTATTTCTATTATTTTGTTTATTAAATTACTTAAGAGCATTTCGGCCAGCGAAAAGTAAACTCTTGTAACAGCGTAAAGTTGACTCTTTGATATTCTGTGAAATTTAATTGGACTGGTAGCAAAATTAGAATGAATTGATGTTCCAAAAAGCAGCGATTTTCACATTTAATTAATGATTGACAAAGTACGGTATATTTGACAGATCCAACTTGACAATGGTGCATGTTTTCCAAATGTCTTTTTCTTTCTTACAGGGATAAAAAGTTGAACAAGTTTCTGTTCAAGTTGACTGTACCACGTTAAAAACTACATTTTAAACTACGGTCATTTTCATAGCCACAGTTACTGATATTATAATTCTGATGACCTTCATCATCTTAAACGATTAAACTAATTGATTAATTGTGGTCTCCGGTACTTTTGAATTTTGGGATTAGAGAGCATATTCTCTTTTGTGTTGGGATTGTCTTGCGCCCTGTTTGTGGTTTAGAAGTTTATTCAATTCCAGATAACATCTTTCGTCTTATCTTTAAAAAAAATTATTTGAACAGCATCGATGCAGCAGACAATGTTGTGTTAAGTTCGGTGATGACAAACCTCTAAAATACTCTTGGCAAAACGTCATTAATGTGCACATTGCAGACAAGGATTATCACT